CTAGATCAGGAGACGCGGGACGAGCTGCTGCTGAACAGCAGCAATGCCAATCCAACTGAAACAGCTGAGACTGAACATTGCAACAATACCACCGCCAACAACTGCAACAACATTAACAACACGAACCATAAGACGCTGCAGCACGACATCCACAATCACAATGGCGAGGATGCGGCGCGGGCGATAAACGGTGGTGATGGCGATGCGGAGAACGATGGCGACGAGGGCGTTGAATGTGAGGACAGTCAGGATGCGGATAAGGTGGGCGGCGGTGTATCTGGCACCGGTTCGGGTTCGCCATCTGATGAACTGGTCCTCGATGTGCTCAACGATGATCTCATTGCACAAGTTCGCAGCAAGCTGAACAGCGGCGGCAAGGATATATTTGCCCATTGTGTGAAGGCCGTGAAGGCGTTCCTGGCTGGCGAACCATTTCGCGAGTTCGAGAACTCCATGTACTTCCATCGGTGCGTGCCGCAGGCCTTCCATTAATGCCAATCATAGCAATTGTTTAATCCCCAAATTCCCTTACAGCTACCTGCAGTGGAAGTGGCTGGAGGCGCAGCCAATCACATATAAAACCTTTCGCATGTACCGAGTGCTGGGCAAGGGCGGATTCGGTGAGGTCTGCGCCTGTCAGGTAAGTGGGCAATTGGATAACAGCGTGCACACACGTGTCCATTAATGCCTCGTCTTATTTTTTTTTTTTGCCACTCGTAGGTGCGCGCTACGGGCAAAATGTACGCGTGCAAAAAGCTGGAGAAAAAGCGCATTAAAAAGCGCAAGGGGGAGTCTATGGTGCTCATTGAGAAGCAAATACTGCAAAAAATCAACTCGCCATTCGTTGTCAATCTAGCGTACGCATACGAGACAAAGGATGCACTCTGCCTGGTCTTGACCATAATGAACGGTACGTATTATCCAGTTAGTGTAGCCCCATTGTAAACTCGGATTTGTAGCGCATAAAAAATAAACAATGGCACGTTCAATTGAAAGGCCGTGCATAGAATTCACTTCGGACATATGCCCTTTTGGTTCAGTAGATAACGTCCCAGGCATGCCAGCTCACTGGCCACTCCAAGCTTAGGAGACAATGGAAAGTTCCGATTGCAGGCCATGTGCTGGCAGTGCAACCCGTTGATGTTTGCTGCCATGACTTTTAATTCACTGGCGCTCTAATTGGGTCTGCAGCCGATGACACACACACACACTCACTTACTCACACACACACACACACACCAACACAAACACACGTACACGCACATACATGCTCGCATTTGTTGTCTGGTAATCATTACGTCTAACAAGCAGATATCAGTTTTCATTTGCATACATTCATTACAGTTATAACAAATGATATGTGAATGTGGACGAATGTCAATAAACGTGCAGTGCTCGTTAATGTTGTTGGTCCTTTTAATTAAATTCCAACATACATTTGGTTCATCGATCAATACTCATCCAATTATCAAATGATGCTGACATTCAGTAGCTTATTTAATTTACCCACAGGCGCTGCTCGTCTTTCAATTAAAAGCTTTGTTAGCGCTACTCGAATGTATTTCATTTTATAAAATATTCATTTTGCAGGCGGCGATTTGAAATTTCACATTTACAATATGGGCGGCGAGCCGGGCTTTGAGCTGGAGCGTGCTCGTTTCTATGCTGCCGAGGTGGCCTGTGGACTGATGCATCTACACAAGCAGGGCATTGTCTACAGAGATTGCAAGCCGGAGAACATACTGCTGGATGACCATGGACACGTCCGAATCTCCGATCTGGGCCTGGCTGTGGAGATACCCGAGGGAGAAATGGTGCGAGGTCGAGTCGGCACAGTGGGTGAGTAGCAATTGGTTTGCGAAACAAAAACCAAAAATTAAAAATCTATGCACCTGCTAGGCTACATGGCGCCGGAGGTTATAGACAATGAGAAATACGCTTTCTCGCCTGATTGGTTCAGCTTTGGCTGCCTGTTGTACGAAATGATCGAGGGTCAGGCGCCGTTTCGCATGCGCAAGGAGAAGGTCAAACGCGAGGAGGTGGACAGGCGTGTCAAGGTGCGGTCACAGTTGTAAAAATCAAAGCAAATCTATTTACTTTAATTGTAAATATATTCTATGTATCGCAGGAGGATGCCGAGAAGTATTCGGGCAAGTTTAATGATGAAGCCAAATCAATGTGCCAACAGCTGTTAGCTAAATCGATAAAGCAACGCTTGGGCTGCCGCAATGGGCGTCTCGGCGCCCAGGATGTGATGGCGCATCCGTTTTTCCACTCTACGCAGCTAAACTGGCGACGTTTAGAGGCGGGCATGCTGAAGCCGCCCTTTGAGCCAGACGTAAGCAACACCTAAAACTGAATCAATAACTCGCCCGTTAACAATTAATTCCTTGCCGACAGCCGCATGCCGTTTACGCCAAAGATGTGCTCGATATTGAACAGTTCTCAACTGTGAAGGGTGTCAATATCGACGAATCCGATACGAATTTTTATACGAAATTCAATACGGGCTCTGTATCCATTTCATGGCAAAATGAAATGATGGAAACCGAATGCTTTCGCGAGCTGAACGTTTTTGGTCCCGACGAATGCCCCACGCCCGATTTGTTGATAAATGCCGTACCGGAACCGGACAAGGCAGGCTGTTTTCCGTTCAGGCGCAAGGTATAAGTTAAATCACCTATCAACTATATCAAAGCTGACAATCTCTTTGGTTTGTTTTTGCTTGCAGAAGAAGCAGCCGGCTCGCACACAGCCCATACCCATTCCTGAGCACCTGCTTACCACTTGTCACAGCGTGTCATCCACAACGGTCGAGAGCTGATAGCATACAATAACTAAAGCCCAAACGCCTAACGTTTCCACATAGCACAAACTGTAACCCATACGCACACAGTTAGCATCCAATCCCAACCCCAGCCCTAGTTTGGGGCGAAGCGTAAAAAGCGCAGCACAACTGAAACTCATTGCAATACACGAACAACAACAACAACAAGAACGACGAGGGCGAGAAGCATTTTTAAAATTCTTTATATATATATTTATATATATATATATACATATATATATGAATGTATTTTTTACATTAATTTTCTAATGGAAACACTGAATTGAAGAAAAATATGCAAGCAAATTTCTATAAACTACATATAAATACACAATTATATTTATAAATGATTCAAAAAAGAAAAGACTTACACGAACACAACATGAATACACTGAGAGCAACGCACGTTAGGTGGTTACTTAAATGATTGTAGCATACCATACACCATACACCATACACCATACACCATATACCATACCGTACTTAGGTATTATACGAGTAGGTTTATATGGTAATTCGACACCTAGAAAGCGAATACTAAAACGAAAAGTAAAACAACAAAAAAATAATAATAATAATAACAATAATAATAATTAAAAGCCGCAATCCAAATTGGCCGTCAGTTTGTCATAGCACCTAAAGTAATGATACTTAAAATACATACAATTGTATGCTATTTAAATATGTATACAACAACTACTTATAATTAATAATACATACATACATACACATACACACTTACACCTTTCTATATATGTAGATGGCAATCTCGGGGCGATGCCAGAGCAAAGAATGTAATATTTGTAAAGTAGTTTTTGTGCTCAACGTGTTTTTGCTAATGTGGGGGCGCAGCGTCAGGCGGAGGGTCGGACGATTGGACGGGCGAAGGGCTTATGCGTCAAGTGTTTTTAGTTAGCATTTTAAAGGCCGTTAAGCAAATGACATAAATACTCGAAAAACTTTAGTGCATTTTTATTGAAATACTTAACATACATACGTACATACAACTACATATATATGGCATATATAAATCTATAAAAAAAATCTATGTAAATGTTCACACATGAATATAAATGTAAATTTTTTCTTAATTGCCGCACACTTTTCCTACGCTTTTCAATGCTCATCAATCTATTCTGTTGCCTAAGTTTAAGTTGACTGCAATTTGTTCATTAAGATTTTGAGAACGTGATTACTGATATTTTTTTTATTGTTTTGTCATGCAATCAATTTGCATACATACTAACATATGTATGTATGTATATATATTGACATACTGCAAATGATGCCAGCTAATTTCTAATTGAGACGTCGGCTAGTGTTTAAGAGTTCCGTGTATAAATGTGTAGTGTAGGCATTTTTGTAATTAGCAACAAAAACAAATATAAAAACACACAAACAATTTGAGAATTTATTATGTTACTCATTAAATGCAAATCATTCAAAATTGCGGCTACCCATTTAGCAAACAATGCGAATGCGACTGCAATTGCGAACGCCACGCGCAACATTTAGTTACAATTCAATTGATTTTTTTGGCACAACTAGCTTATTGTAGGGTATACAATGGCAGCAAGCAGCAAGCAAGTTACATACATATTTCAATAAAAAGCACAGCCCAAAACAAAAACCACAAAAAGAACAACAAAAAAAAAAATTAAAAAAAATAAACGCCACAAGCTCGAAAAAAAAACGCATAATTGAATTTTAGCACAAGAGAAACAAAGCAAGCGCCGAAATATTTATCTATAGTAATTAAAGGCATATTTATAGATCATAATAAATACCAGATATACAAACATAGAAACTACTGTGTAAGAGCAATTAAATGCAAAACAAAAATAAAACAAACATTCAACAAACAAAAAACAACAATAAACGTATTTAACTACAAGAATTGGGAATTGTCATTTTATTCATTAGTTCGACGAAAGATATTAGTTTGCAAATTGATTCAAAGGCTGTGAATGCTAATGCGGATAACTAGCTATTATCACCCGCCTGTGCATAGGTTTCTAGCCTTGTTCTAGTAAATGGAATCCGATTTTTTAATATTTAAAAAAATTTGTAATTTTAAACAAATTTGCTAGCTTGCAAGCGAATAACATACATAAAACATATGAATAACTTGATTTTTTATTGACTTTATGTTCCATAACCCAATTCTCAATCAAATGTATTTTATAAAATTGTAATTAAATCAATAAAGGCTTTCGTTTACAATTGGTGACCCTTGTGCTTATTACTTCGCCCGTATAATAAAGGTCGCACTCGGCACCATTGTTCTCGAAAGACCTCTCACCCAGCATATACTCGGGATTTAGGGCTACACGTAGTATATATCTATTGTTAACGGGCACAGTGGTAACATCTACCCACTGGCAATCTAGCACATGGCTATACACATCCGCGCAGCCAGCGCTGATACCTATCAATGGGTCAGCATTAAGGATGGACAGGACATGACTGTGATAAACAAGAGTGAACTTACCTTGGGTGGTATTGCCACAGGTGTATTTCCTGCGTACGCCCAAATTGCACTGGGAGTCCATCAGGCAGAAGGAGGCCTTGTGACCCTGGGCCACCTTCTGGTAGCGCTGATTGTAGACGTCGAATGTGGCGAAGACATTCATGCTGTGGTAGTGCATATGACACTGATGCCATTCCCAGTCCTTGTAGTTGGCATAGGGACTAACGTCGGCATTGCCCACATTGGAGGCCTTGACCGAGAAGCGCAGCAACTTGCGGATACCCCTGGGATTTGTTCTGCGTACAACATACGCATCCTTCGACACACAGTTTTCCTCCATGGCGCAGGTCAGCTCTGTCATGGGCACATTTGCCAAGTACGCGCTTACTTCAATGTCCACCAGACCAAGCTCCAGATCCGGTGATTTACTCACACAGGCCACTGTACTCACATTACGATTGGTGGCATCGCATACAGTGGGATATGTCGACTCCCGGTGGCATTCCGATAGTTTAAGCTCGGTGCCGCGACAAAGAGTGCCCACCATGCCCCAGGGATGTGTTCTGCTGTTACCGTGCTTAGTGCTGGGCATGGCCATGGAGGCATAGCCCAGACCCAACTGCCGACACACAACATTACCCTCACGCTTTGTCCATTTTGTGCTGCAAATGGTACCCCACTTAACGCCATTGTCAAAGCTCACCTCCACACGGCCCTCACGCAGCGGCTGGTTCGCAGTAGCAGTTGCATTTGTACTGGCCAGGCGTACCTTCATATTGCGAAAATTGTTGCTCACATTCAGCTGGCAGCTGCATAGACTCAAGCTGATCAGCAGCAGCAGCGGCACAGGCAGAGATCGCGTATGTAACTCCATTTTCTCCTGCTTAGAGTCTAGTGGGGCTCTCGCACCTGTCCCTCAGCTTTAAAGCTTGGGCAAACAATGACGAAAACGATGAAAACAAATTAAAATTAAACAAAAAACATGTGGATAAACTCTGGAGCCTTATTGTGTAAAGATAATGTGCTTTGTATTTTCGTTCAGCGCCGATTTACATATACAAAAGCCAGTTGGCTGGTCGCCCATATTTTTGTGGTTCCGTGTGTGTGTCTGTGTGGTGCTCTTTGCAACTGGAGTGCATTCGTTCAACGCAAATATTAACAACAACAGCAGCAACAAATTGTGCGTCTGTTATAAATTAAGCAGCTTGGTAATCTCTGCCTTGAGCGCTGACGGCTTAAAGACGCCATGTTCAGTGATGATGCCAGTTACAAGTGAAGCGGGCGTTACATCGAAGGCGGGATTCCAGCAATTAATGCCCGGCGCCGCAATGCGATGCTCGCCCACGTGTGTCATTTCGCGGTCGGGTCGCACCTCGATTATAATGTGATCACCGCTGGGTATCTGCAGATCGATGGAGGTCAACGGTGCGGCTACATAGAAGGGCACGCCATGATGCTTGGCCACAACGGCTATTTGGTAGGTGCCAATTTTATTGGCCGTATCACCATTGGCAGCCACCTGGGGAAAAGAAGAGTGATATTGATTAAGTTGCAAAGCTCAGGAGACAGCCCAAAAATAGGTTACCCGATCAGCGCCGACGACTACAGCAGCGACATTCTTCACACGCAGCAGCGCCGCTACCATGCTGTCCAGCACCAGGGTAGCGGGTAGCTTTTCGTGTACCAGCTCGTAGGCGGTTAGGCGTGCACCCTGGTTGTACGGCCGTGTCTCCGTGCAGTAAACGTGTTCTGTAAGGGACAAGATGGACACTAATCAGCTGCTCGCATGGCTGGCAATTTTGCCTTTCGCTTTTACCCAGCTTGCCCAGTTCGCTGAGGTGCCGCACTACGCCCAGCGCTGTGCCGTAACCTGCTGTGGCTAGGGATCCAGTGTTGCAGTGCGTCAGCACACGCACAGGACCAGCTGCGGCCGCACTCGCCGTCTCTGCCACATGCTCAAGTATTGCCTTGGCGCCATTGGCGCCAATCGCCCGGTTGTCGGCAATGTCTTTTTCCAGCATGGCCTCGGTGGCGTTCAGGAATCTTGAATAACATTGAAATAATGGCTGCGCCTTGTCTTTTGAAGTTGCCTGTGCGATGTGTGTTTTACCTTTGCTTCATGTCTTCCACCGTCACGTTATCATCCTTGGTCAGCTCATTGGCCAGCGTGATTAGCTCGTCGGCGGAAATTTTCATGTTGACCGCTGTGGGCCGTGCGGAGACTAAATAGTTCAGTTTGCCCTCAATTTCCTGACGCAGCGATTTCTTGTTGCCAAACTCCTCCGGATAGATTTCGACGGCCAGCGAGAGGCAGCCCACAATGGCAATGGCCGGAGCGCCCCGTACCTATAAAGGGAGTAAACAAACCAGAGATATGTATATACAATTAATGAGTGGGTGCAAGTCTAGGGAGTATATCAGTATCATCTGCTGCTGTGTCAATGCTCTTATCTGGCCATAAACTCTTTATAGCCTCATTATTTAATGGGTCGCCGCAGTCCACGTGATGAGCCGCATGCGTGCTCTTTGCACAAGCAGCAGTAAACAACTAGGAAATTATCTCTCGCTCTCGCAGATTCTATTTGTTTAACCAAAAAATAAATAACGAAGAAGACTAACCCAGAGCTTGGTTACATATTTAGTCGTGGTAATAACTAGAGGGCATGCAACTTAAATGAGCAAACCACAAACAATTTCGTTTTGAGCAAGATGCAATTAATTTTGATGATGATGTGTTTGCACACGTTTTGATGCTTGGCAAGCAATTTACAAGATTTATTTAATTTATTTTTCTATAAGAAAATTAAATGACGTTATTTATAGAGCGTCAAATGGTGATTTGTACATGATTGAACAAGACAGGAATTTATACAGGTTCAGGGATTGGTACGTCTATTGGATAGGATTATTGCTGCTTACCTGCATCTTATTGATGACCTTCCAGCCGTCCTCAACGCCGCGCACGGTAAGATACTTGGAGACGACGGGCAGCAGCAGCTGATCAAGTATCTCCAGGCTGCCACGCTGATATTTGATCGATTGTAGGCTCATCCTATACAATTTGTACTATGCGACTAACTGTAAGAGAAATGCAAAGGCAAATTATTAGGATAGATCTCGCGGTTTGGTGCCCAAAAACAGACCAAACTAGTGGGCGGCGGCAGCTATTCAGCTGGCGTCAGAGCTCCAACATTTATGTCAGAATTTATGGCCAGAGAATGTATGTGTGTATATGTGTGTGTAAGCGTATTTATCAATTGATCAATATTAATCAAATGAAATGCCAACACCAATGCCAGGACAGTCGAAAATTGCTGGGGCAGATGCCGACTACGTCTGACAGGCGAACGCTTCCCTTAGCTACTGAACGATTGCGATGCGAATGGACCGCGACCAATTCGCAAACAGTTTGGCAATAAGAGAGAGCAGCGCAATTAGCCAGAGACACGGGCAGGCGGAAAGAGAGCGAGGGATAGGGAGAGTGAGAGAGTCTGATTGGGAGTGCTGGGACTGTGCTAGTTTAGAGTCTAGACTGTATAGCGCGTCGCGATGGCTAAGCGATTAATTCAACTTGTCACAACTTGCGTATCCGTTGCAAATTGATAAAGGCGTTGTCAACGATGACGGCGACGGCGACGCTGGCGTTGACTTTAACGCCGGCGTTGCTTCAGCCGTCAGCACGTTGTCGAGCTTTTGATATTTTTGCTTTTATATGACAGGCAACAGCAAATCGGACAGCGACGCTTATCTTGCATACATATGTATGTGCATATATATATATATATATATATGTATATATACATATTTGCTATTCAAATGCCTTGATAATTCTCAGAGAAGCGTAATTTATGCGGTTGCAATTAGTTGTGCGCGCTGTAAGTGTCAACCAAGAACTTGGCGCTGGTTCGGTGCCAAATTTGTGTTTAACAAATTTATGCACACACAAACACAAACACACGCACAAGCACAGGTAAATATTAGCGCATGCAACTGGTGGTTCCGGCAATGACAGTGACAGCGGTAGTTTTGAATCTTGACATCTGTTTAGTCCACCCTATTCAAAGTGTAGAGTCTATTATGCACTTGCCTTATTTTAAGAATTTTGAATTTAAATTCAAACACTTATTTCACTTTACAGACTAAAAAAATTGTAAACAGAAAAGGTAAACAAAGCAAGGGTAGCAGACTGTATGACCATGTTTCTTTTTTTTTGAAAGTGTGACCAGTTATCCAAGGCATGTTAAGTTGTCGATAGAAAACACATGATAAGCGGCAGCTCGATAAATGCCTCTTTTATTTGACGAGACAACAATATTTGCCAAAATGTTATGAAACACGCCGGCTTTCTTTTTACTCACTGTTTTGTTTACGTATCCAAGTCTTATTGTTTTTTCATTAATGGTTTTTGGTAATGCAGGAACTTTGCTTCAAATGTTTTTAAATTCGTTTTGGTTTCAACTTTGGCAGAAAATTGGTCGGTTTCGATCCTAATCGTAAATTATAACTGTAAATTAAAGTTTAGTGCGTTTCTTTGGCGTTTAATAAGTCCAATTATTTAGGCACAAAACTAGTGCTTTTAAAAAAATCACAGCGCTTAATAGAAATAATATTTTTACACGTAACATTAAGTTAACAGAGCGCGTTTTTTAGCATTCATATTAACAGTGGCATCGATATCGATTATTTCCAGTGCATACAAACAGCACGACAAAGTTCTGACGACTGTCGTCAGAGGGCGTTTGCCTTGCGGGAACTTTCAAATTATTACAGAAAATCTTTGAAAACCAAAATTGTATAAATTTATTTTAGAATCAAAATGGCCAAAAGTATAGGACAATCCCTTTACCGTTTGCAGCCAAATAAAACGTTATTTATGTTGTGCGACATTCAAGAAAAGTTCAAACCAGCAATTCCTTTGCTTGGGGCGGTTATAGAGAATGCCAATAAATTGGTAAGTTGTGTAGCATTGCATTTAATTTAAATTGAACAAGATGATATTCTAGATAGAAGCTGGTAAGATATTCAATGTACCACTGTTGGTTACAGAGCAATATCCGGAAAAATTGGGCTCTACCGTTTGTGAGCTGGATGTGCAACATGCTTGTGATATCGTGCCTAAGACCAAGTTCAGCATGTTTGTGCCGCCAATTGAAAAGAAGATAAAAGATATTTTTGGCGACAAGCCCAAGACGGTAGTGTTGTTTGGAGTTGAGGCTAGTTTCAATACACGACCATAATCTACTTCTTGCTAACAATTTCCTATTCTCCTATAGACTCATGTGTGCATAGAGCAAACGGCTTTTGACCTTATCAATAATAGTATGGATGTTTGGCTTGTTGCTGACTGCACTGCCTCGCGTCTCAACCAGGATCGCGATTTAGCCCTAGAGCGTCTGCGTCACATAGGCTGTATTATAGCCAGCTCCGAGAGTATTATTTTTAATCTACTGGGCGACAAGGACCACAAGTCCTTCAAGAAGATAGCGCCGCTTGTGAAGAAAGTGTCAGCCGATTTGAAGCTTTGGCAACCCACAGAGAAGACCAAGGACAAGAAGTGATATTGGCAAGCGGTGCCTTTCATGTCTATTCATTTACCATTAAGGTAGCATTTTTGTGTTGCTCATAGAAATTATGAAAGAAGGTACCAGAGATAGGGCCTGCCTGTCCTCGGCAAGCGTCGTCATCTCATAAACATTTTGCCCAGCGGACAGCTGAATGGAGCGTTATCTCAGCGGCGCCTTATAAGCCAGCCAAGCATCTAGTAAGCCAGCCGAGAGCAGCCTGTATTGACGCCAAGCCTCTTTGCTGCCAATTTATGCGAAGACTTGGAGCGCCCCTTGTACGACTATTCCAGGCAGTTAAATTTCATGATGCAATCGAAACAATCTCCGCATGTTGTTTGCCTACGCGCTCGAGGCAACC